GGTACTCAGTCAGTGACCATACTACCCTGAACACTCCCAATAGCATCAGAATGGGCACTGAATCATGGTTGCCTCCTCTTGTAAAGTCTAAACAGTGAAGGTCAGCAGTACTCCTCAGGGACTTGTCCTGTTCACAAAGCCAGTGTGTGCCGTGGCTAGAACTGTGATGAGCTCCTTGCTCCCAGCTCACCCGGATTGACATGCTCTTGTGTAGTCTTTCCTGTGTAACTCTTCCAAGGAATGACTACTGGGTGCCTACTACCTTACACATCATTTGTATCTGGCTGCAGGAATGCAAAGATAAGAATGTGTACAAAGCCCACCAATCGCTGGGGAGACTATACTTTCACATCTTTTAAATAAATTAATAGATAGATAGATAGATAGATAGATAAATAAAACAAAGTAGAAGAAAGTGTGGCAAGGCCAGAAGCAGTAGTGAGTGTGCAAGTAGTATGGGCTGGGGTGGGCAAGAGAGCAGCTTCACAGAGAAGGCAGTGTGAAATGTTCAAATCATATTCTCACAGATGCCCTGGGTCTCACCCTTAACACTCCCAGGATAGCAAGTGTTAGTGGACACCCTAGAACAAATGAGCCCCATAAAGGGACAAGCGGTACCAATGAGTGCAAGCCAGTACAGGTGTGCCAGCATGGGAGCATGCTGAGATCTTCCAGGGAACAGCTGGCAAGGGTATGGTCGCTGACAGCCAACAGCTGCTGTCTCTCTGCAGCCCACCACAGTATTCACACAGGGGTGACACTCCCTGTGAGTCCCAGACCAGAGTCAGTCAGAGGATGACAAAGGCACCAGGGCAGGGCCATTATTGTCCAACCTAGGTGTTCCAGTACCCATAAGCCTGCTAACACATTCTGAGGGGTACCCTGCCTCCTGGTACTTCCTGTCTCATCCCTTTCTTCATTTTCCTTCCACATCACTGCACCCCTGTGCTCTCCCTACCTACTCTTGCTTCCTCTCCTTTGTGAACTGGGGAAGCAGCATGGAGAAGAAGGGAGGACAGGGAAGTAGAGGGAAGGGGTGCAACGAGAGTAGATATTTGGGGAAATGCCTTTGTTATGTAAGTGAGGAAAAACGGAGAATGAAGGACAAAGGGCATGGTGGGGGTGAAGTATCAGAATGCCATGCAATCATAATGTAGGGAGAATAAATTCCAGAAGGACAATCCCCTCCTGGATTCTAAAGAGAAATAAAAAGTGGTGGAAATTATTCAGCCACATATTTGGTTTTGGAAAAACCAACAACAAAAAATGTTAAGCGAATGTATAAACAGAGACAGGGAACCATTCAGGCAAATAAAACCCCCAGTTCTCAGGCATTTTTCTCCCAGCAAAAGTAAGTTTCTTTATTTGTCCAGTTATTTACTTGCTTTTTGGTACAGAATCTCCCTATGGGGTACAAACTGACCTCAACTTTTCTATGTGCTCAGACTGGCCACAGCCTCCCAAAAGCTGAAATGACAAGTATGTGCCACCACGCCTGGTGAAGCTTGGTGTTCTCTCACTGCAAAACCAGTCCTGCGGGTCTTTTCCTTAGGGTTTGACCACCTAGAGCAAGTGTTTCCATGGGTACCAGGGAAAGGGATGACGTCCACGGGGGTGAAGGGGAGCAGAGGAGAAGGAAGTGAAGGATTTTTTTATCTTGATTTTTTTTTTTGGTTACAACAAAATAATGGGTTTATTTATGCCGTTTTCATACAACTCTGTCCTCATCTCGTTTATTGCTCGCAACCACTGTCCTCGGGGATTTTTTTTTCTGAAAAGCTCTGACTGACAAGACTGTGATCTCCATGAGTTCTCACACCTCACTTTGGAATCAGGCTTGTGGGCAGTGTGGGGAGGGGAATAAGACTGCGCCTGAGGGTGTGGAAGAGGGAAATGGCAAGAAACAAGACTGGGTAACCCAGAAGACTTTCTCTGCCACGCAGCAGTTAGGGGCCCAGGATAAATCTTCAAAGGGAGGGGCAGGGACAGGACCGTACGCCTCTCCAATGGTTGAACTTCATAGCGAATTGTAATGAGGGAAGGGAAGCAGGTGTGGACCACCCACCGGAGGAGACTGAACTCAGATCTGCTTTAGAGATCCTGCCTTGTTATCTTCCCTGCCCTCTGACCCAGGAGTCAGGCCACCTGACTCCCCTGAGTCCTTTGCCTTTGCCAGCCTTGCTAAGTGCGTGTGGAGTCCTTCCTGCTGTCTTATCTGGGCTGCAAGCCCTTTAAGGATGGCCTGCCATGTGGTTAATATCGGAATCCCGGACTCCAGCATGGTTTCTGGCACAAAGCCACTTCTGTTGGAAGCAAAAAACAAAAGCATTCAACACTCTGGAAATTTTGATCTAAACACTCGGGTGAGGAAAAGGAACCTATTATATTTTTTAAAGAAAATCTTTATTTCTAACCCTTTTAAAGTATACAGATCAGTGGTATTGACATGCTCACCACCCACCCACCCACAGAACATCTCCTACCAGGAATATCTTCCTTAAACACTAGCTCTCCATTTTCATTCTCCCCATTCTCCCCCAGCCCACAACAGTCCCTGCTGTGCTTCTTGTCCCTATGACTTGACCAGTGAAGGTGCCCTTATGACTGGACCAGTTCCTGAAGGCTTAATGTGGATCATCCATGCTGTAGCATAAATCACAACTTCTTTCCTATTTCTTACTTATTCATTTATTTATAGAGCACGCCCGTGTGTGTGTGTGCATGCATGCATGCGTGTGTGCGTGTGTGTATGTGTGTGTGTGTACATACCCAGAGGCCAGAGGAGAATGAAAGATGTTTTGTTTTAGTCCCTGAAGAGACTCTCACAGGGCCTGGAACTAGGCTGGTGGCCAGCAAGTCCTAATCATTCTTCTATCTCCCCCACCCCCGACATTGGTGAGGTTGCAGTCATGTGACCACACTCAAGTTTTTGTTGCTGTTCATTTGTTCATTTTTTTTTTATGCAGGTACTGGGAATTCAAACTCAGTTCCTTCTGTTGAGTAGCAAGTTCTCACCCTCTGAGTTGTCTCCCCAGGCCTTTTTCTTTCCTCTTTAATAATATCCCCCAATAGAGTTATACCATATTTTGTTTATCTCTCAGTCAGTGGAATTTGGGTTGTTTCTACATGTTGGCTATAAATAATGCTGCTGTGAATGCAGATTGCAAACATATCTTAAAGATCCTGTTTTGAATTCTTTTAGGAATAGCTAGACTTCCCCCCTCCCTCCCCCGCAGCTGTTGGAGTAAAAACACAGTGAGATGTGAAACCCTCTGTCCTGCAGAGGAGACAGTAAGGTGAAGAATGCAGGCTTCGGGGAAGGCACAGGTTCAGGAGGAAGATGAAAAAAGACATAAGATGACCTGATTCCTTAAGTAGAGGGGACTTCATCTGCAGACCAGAGCAGTGGCAGGAGAGAGTTGAGTCTGGGCTTGAGGAAAGGGAAGGGGTACAGCAACTGCTGAGGGGACTGCCACTGGAAGATGACAAGATTTGGGGTCAGACTTTAAGGACAAGCCAAGAGCCCAGTGTCTGTATGTGTTGGAGGAGATGGGGTAAAAGTGGAAGAACCCCCTTTTTTGTAGCCTAGCTAGCTCAAACTTTCTGTGCTGTCTAGAATAATTTTGATATTCTGTCCTCCAGCCCCCACTTCCCAAGTGCTGGGATTGTAGGCCTGCCCCACCATGCCTTGTTACTGGGTTGCTGAGGACAGAACCCAGGGCTTTGTGCGTGGTAGGCAAATCGTCTACCAACTGTACTACAGCCCAAGCCAACTTAAAATTCAGCCCTTTGTGGGTAGGGAGTAAAGAAAGCTTGTGGTAAGTGTGCTTAGAAATGATCCTTACAGAAGGCTGTGAAAGTCTGCCAGGACCCAGGCAGAACTGACAAGTGGTGGGCTGGGTCACAAGACAGGTTCAAGAGTTATAGAGGAAGGCGGAGAAAACATGGATACTGAAAATGATCCAGCTTTAGAAATGGGCCAGAGGATGTGGCAGAAGGCCAAGGGTGAAAAGGGAGCTAAAAGCCACAAAAGTGCTGAGTGTGGTATCCCTAAACAAAAGTAGGTCCCCACAGAGACTCCCTGAGAAACCAGGAGGGGCACTGCCACAGCCATCAGATCATTATCTGTTCTATCAATCACTCCCATTGCCTCCTGTGAGCCCACCTTCTTGTGCTCCTTCTCTACTCCCAGACTGCCCATCTTCCTAGACACGAGGTACTTCCCTCACCATCAAGATCTCCTCGCAGAGCATCCTCCTTTGTGCTGGCCTCATTGCTTCATCCCTGCAGCCACTGTCTGGCCCAAGGCCTGTCAATAACAGACATCTAAGACCTCAGAGTCCCCCTGGTGACTGCACAGGCTCACAGCGCTTCAAAAGTTCTCCAAGGTCCCAGGTCACTGTGTAGGGAAAGTTTCCAGGAATCTCATTCTGAGCTCACTTTTGATCTTTTGTTGTAAAGGAGGTGAGAAAGGGAAGGAAGAAGGGGGGGGGGAGGAAGGAGGAAGAAGAGAAGGAAGAAAATGGGGAGGAGGAGAATGGGGGAGGAGGAAGAGAAGAAATTGTTTTACAAGCTGTTGTCTTGAAACACCAACTTCCCCCATCATATTCTCTTTCTCCTAAATAACCAACATGTCCTCTGAACTGGAACTTCCTCTGTCTAATGGCAAAACTCCATTCTCTTCTCCCTGGGATGCCCCATTTTGCCTTGGTCCCTTCAGCATTGTTCTTCTCTTCATTGCTCTGTGGGTCCCTGTTTTACTGAGGACATTGTTCTATCCACGTCCTGCCCTCTCAAGGACATCTGTCAGTTGCAACCCACTCTTTGCCATCTATCATCCCTTTCCTTGCTTCTCTGAGCTTTAGGCTGCCCTCACCCCTGTACATTGCTGATGCTCTAACACTATACAGGGACCTGCTTGGTTTTCTAAGCAGCCTCTCACACTAGCATTTGCTGAGCACTTTTTATGATCTTCCTCTCCCCCTTTTCTCTCCTTGCAGACATGTTAGAGACTCTCCCACAGACTGTCCACTTAAGAAAACCACTGCTCTCCTGAGGCATTGAGTATCCAAATGATTAGTGTCGCACACTGGAAAATGTGCTGACAGCCAGGTAAACAGACAGATTTCTTGGGAAGTGGGGCAGTGCTCAGAGGGTGTGGAGGGAAATAGCTGTGTAGTAAGTCAGATAGACAGTTTTTAGCTGCAAAAGATGGGCTAAGGAAAGAAAACAGTTATAAAAGATTTCCTCTTGGTTTTCCTTCTGTCTGGAGGCGAGGCAACCATCGGCTGTGCTCAGAACCCGGCTGGCTCCGTTTCCAGTCTTCTGCTTTGGTCAGTTCCTGCCAAGCCCATGTCTCCTGTTTGTCTCTGTAAACTAGTGAGATTCGCTGGCTTCCTGTGTTTGCACTCTCAGAAATCCCTGGGGACCTAGACTGTTTTGACTCTTGCCTGCCCCAGATAGAGCACCCCTTGCTAGCCTTGGTCCTGTTTGAGACTCACCAACACTCCTGGTAGCCAGGCCTTCCCCCTCTGTCCTGCCCTTCATAAGTGGTGCTATTGAACAGGGCAAAGGGAAAGCAGAGCAGAGTTCCCAGGAAACATTTGAAGGATACTTGTCCTTATGTGGCAGAAACAGGAGGATGGAGAATCTCCAAGAAAGGAGTGGAAAGATTTACAATCAGTTCTTTGCAACACGAGCGAAAGAACTAGGAGAGTTAACATGAACCCCCGGTCGAATAGTTAAGGACCTTGTGGCGTGTGCCTTCCAAGCTGACCCACATGTTAAGAAACGAAGATAAATCTTGGAGTCAAATACTGGAGCAGAGCGTAAAAGTGTGGGTGACTTGCTGGCCACCTAGACCCTCAGTTAGCCGCTGGTTTGAGTGTTACTCTCTAAACAGGGGGGCCCATCTCACACTGTCATTCTTTTAATAACCTGTTGTACAGATATTTTTGACCCCAACTCCATGCCTGATTGGTGCTAGATGCCACGGGGGTTGCAAAGCAGCCCAACCCAAGGACCTCCTTCCAATAGCTGCGGTCATCACAGAAGTCAGGCCACTGCTGCAGAAGGCACTGCACAAGAGCACAGGCTTCAACTCGCCAGCTCCCACAGGTCTGTCACCACAGCTCTCTCCAGCTGAGACTCCAGGATAGTAGCTTCAAGGCTTATCTGAGCTCCAGAGTGAGTTCAAGGCCAGCCTGGGTAATTCAGGGAGGTCCTGTCTCAAAATAAGGGCAGAATAGTTCTGAAGCTGTGTCTCGGCAGTAGAGTGCTTGTCTGCAACACACAAGGCCCCATATACCCAGGATCACAAGATGAAGGAAGTATGTGACCGAGTATGAAAAAAGTTAGTGTATCATGGGGAGTCCCAGTCAGGTCAAGGGATTGTGGGGGAGATGTGACAATCGGCCTCAAAAGGAGCATGGCGGTAAGAAGACAAAGGAAGAGACAGTCCTAAATGTGTGAGTCACTGCATTCTAATCACAGTGACAAACTACAACGATTGTCTCTAGTTAAAACCAAAGAATAGAGAATTTGCTATCTCCAGTGATCACCAGAACCAAAAAATTGTTGTTTTAAACAACAATTTAAAAAAAAACAAAACAAACAAACAAATAAAAAAAAAAAACCCTGGTTTCTGGTTGCTAGGCCAGGGCCAGGCGTGGTGGGTTGTATATACCATCCTTACCTTAGTACAGATCTGAAAGGTGTGTGCTGTGTGTCGGAGAATAAGTATTAGAGTCGTGAAGCTGACACCTCCACGCATGGGGGCTTGGCTAATAAGAACTCTATGGGTGAACATGTTTAATTTTTCCTCACAACAGATGTGGCGCTTCTGCATCCAATTCTACCACGTGAGAAGGGCAGGCAGAGGATTAGGAGTTCAAGATGAGCCTTTACTGCGTCTGGGCTATGTGTCTCCTGGAGGACAATGTCTACAGTCCTATAACTGCCCATGCACGCCCTTCCTCAGTGGGGTACTTTTACACATCGTGGGCTAATCTCACCCCATTCCCAGCATGATGGCTGCAGTTGGTCATGGAACTGTATTTCAAATATGGAGAAAGGGGCGAGAGCCAAAAATGCTTTCCCTGTCTGCTCTGTCTTTCCATTCACAAAGAAACTTCCTGCCGGAGGCATTGTGAAACACTTATCCAAAACCCCGACTGGCCAAAGCTAAGTTATATGCCATTCCCTAACAAGAGTTAAGCTAATCATTGTAGGTGAAGACTGCTCGTCCATTTCCCAGCTGCTCAGACCCAAATAATCACACGAAACTATATCAATCACAACACTGTTTGGCAATGGCTCAAGTGTATGCCTAGCTAGCTCTTATATCTCAAATTAACTCATTTCCATCAATCTGTGTATCATCACAATACTGTGGCTTATCAGGTAAAGTTCTGGGTGTCTGTCTTCTTCAGCAGATACGTGTGTCTCTTTGACTCCACCTACTTTCTCTCTCTATCTCTGTTCAGATTTCCCGCCTGGCTATGCTCTGCTAAGCCATTGGCTGAAACAGCTTTATTCATTAACCAATGGTAATAAAACATACTCACAGCATACAGAGGGGAATCCCACATCAAATCATAATTTGCCATGGCCCTCGTAGACCATGACCTTCTATGGTCAAAGAGTCTCTGCTTGCTACCTCAGTCAAACCAGAGAAGGGTGTGAGGATAGTGGATGAGGAGACAATGACCTGTATCTGCCTCATGTGCCCATTCCCATTGGCCCCTCCTTGACTGTAGCCTTTGAGTATAATCCTAAAATTAACACTGCCCCCCCCATACACATAATGGATCTGAATTCTACAAAGACAGCAAATCAAAATTCCAATCAGCACACTTTTATTCTGAAAAACCTATTGGTTATAATCCATAAGACTGGTGAATGAGGGGCTGGAAAGATGGCTCATAGGTTAAAGGTACATTGGACTGCAGTTTTGTTCCCAGCATCCACATTTGGTAACTCACAACTGCCTGTAACTCTAGCATCAGGGCATCTGGACTTTCCTGACCTCCAAAAGGGCCCACATGTACGTACACAGAAATAAACAATGCACATAATATAACATAAATAAATGCAAAATAAATCTTTTTTTTATTAAATTTTAACAGAATCTCACTATATATACACTTGTCTGCCTGACTAGACTAGAACTCTCTATGTCGTCCAAGCTAGTCTTGAACTCACAGAATCAACGTGTCTACTAGGACTAACAATGATAAATCACACTTGACTGTAGTAATAAGTGCGGCGGGCCTTCGTCCCCAGCACCCCGGCCACCTACTAGCTTATGCCCCAAAATAACAACACACAAACTGTATTCATTGAAGCACTGCTTGGCCCATTTCTATCTAGCCTCTTCTAGGCTAATTCTCGCACCTGGACTAGCCCATTTCTAATAACGTGTGTAAGCACACCAAGATGCGCTTACTGGGAAGATTCTAGCCTACGTCCATCCTAGGTTGGAGCTGCCTGGGAGAGCGGAGCCTGGCGTCTCTGCTCTGGAGAGCAGAGCTGTAGCTGTCGAGTCTGAGCTCACTTCCTCTTCCTCCCAGCATCCTCTTCTGTTTACTCCTCCCACCTATGTTTTAACCTATCAGGGCCAAGGAGTTTCTTTATTGCTTAACCAATGAAATCAACAGATTGATATATGACACTTCCACATCACTTGACAAGATATTTTTTTTAAAAAATGGTAAATGAATGTATCTTCGTGTAGAAAGATTGTTTATATTAGATACCTTTTTTTTTTTTTTGTCTCCTCTCCTGAACTAAAAAGTTAACCTACAAATGTCTGGTCCCTGCTGTTTTTAACAAGAATACTTCCTTTAATTGTTGGTTTCTTTGCCAGAGGCCCTGTTTAGTTGAAAGCTCAATGGCAGAGTTTTGTGTTCCATCTTAAGCTCTCAGATGTGGGGGTGGGGCACTACAGTTGCCATAAACCATGTGTACTCACTGAGCCCTGGAACTACGGGATGCATGAGTTAAACTTTTAATCTTGTTAAGTTTTAATTTATTTAAATTTTTATTCAACCTTAACCATGCTTATAATAATTTGGGTATGAGAATCTCATCTTCAGCCACCCATACTGTGAAACCTTAAATGCAGTTCAGTCTACATGATGAAGGTTTGTTAAGTCGGCTGAGATCATTGTATGTGTAAAACTATCAAATCCTGTGTGGAAAATAGTTTAAAAAGATCAATTTGTATGTTGGTTATTTGTTGAAATGGCAACATTTCAAGTATACTTGGTCTATAAAATATATTAAAAATAATTTTACTTGTCTTTATTGGTTTGTTTCTATTGTTTGTTTTTTGAGACTGGGTCTCTCTATGTAACCCTGGCTGGCCTGGAACTTTGTAGCCTAGGCTGGAGTCAAACTCACAGAAATTTGCTGGCCTCTACCTCTGGAATGCCATGATTAAAGGCGTTCACAGTCATGCCTGGCTTCTTCGCTGGTTTTTAGAGGTGGCCAATAGAAAATGATAAATCAGTCACACATGTGGCTTATTTCTCTTTCTCTTGGGAAGTACTGCCAGAATACAAACGGGTCACTGCAAATGTCTGTGGAATGAATGCATGAGTTTGTCACATGAACTCCAGACTAGAATCACAGGATTCCTGATTTCCGTGTCCCTTCCTTCCCATCATTCCTTTTGCAGCCTCTGATGTCACATGTTAGCTCCCTCGTCATACTGGCATATTCACCTGCAAGACAGGAACTTTGCTTGTGGTAGTAAGCTTTGAAAATTCTTAGAGAGAGGGGGAGGAAGTAGGGTACGGGAGTCAGGGGAGAAGTGCCTGTGTTGAAGGCCTATAAAAGGCACGGCTAGCAGGAAACTGAACATTTTAATGGAGCAAAAGTCAGAAGGTTAATTCTCAGGTAACCCTTGGTTTCAGAGTTTGCCGTTTCTGGTGTCCATGGTGACAGCTCCAGTCGGCTCATTGGATTTGCTCATTCTGATAAGTGTGTGTTTCATGAAGGGTGGGGACTGTACTTCTGGGCAGATTCTCACTCTTGTTCCTCACTGTCCCCAAAGCAGATGAACCACCTTGGCTGTGTGACTACACCTAGAGAACAGAGAAGCGTCACCACACAGCCTGGGCTCCACAAGGGGTTTCCTGGGAAGATGTGCTCTATCTAAGCCTGCAGAGGTCACGCCCCAGCATCCAGGGGCAGAGCAAGCCACTGCTCTCCAGATATATGGAAAAAGGATATTATTGAAATGCTAGCAGTGAGTCAACCGTTGGTGAGATTAGCGTGGCTTTATTGTCGTATTAATACTGTAGTCTTAAAATGTATAATTGTTTATTATTTCTAAAACAAAATTTTAGAAGATACTTGTGCAGGTGCACCATTTCCCTTCATGGTGCTAATTTTGAGATATTCTTAACTCAGCCCCTCATTCAGCCTCTCTAGATTTTCTTACTCATTTTGACTTTGACACAGTTGACTCCATCTCAAAATGTGAACCAGTTCATAGCTGTTTGGGAGCTATTGTATGGGCACTTGCTTTCTGGTGTCATGTGGATAGAGGATATTCCTCCCGACCCAAGCTATTGGGAAGATGTGTAGGGAGCCTGGGGTGGGGCTGTTCACTCTGGACTTAACCCTCACAACTCTCTGCCTTATGTAGTGTTGTTGCTTAATATAATTAATTTAATGTGTTAATTATTGTATTTTATGTGCATGTGTACAGGTGTATACACTGCACACCACACCTGTAGTGGTCAGAGAATAGATTTGGGATTGGATCTGTCCTTCCACTGTGGGTTCCCAGGCTCAAACTCCAGCTGTCAAATTTGTATGGTCAAGAGCCTTTAGCTCCTGAGCCATATTGCCATCAACTTTTCTTTTCATTTCTTAAAGACTTTCATTGTGTATGTTCATTGGACATGGCACTGTGTTACAAAGGATGCTCTCACGCAATCTATACATGCTATATTTGAGTGTACTTCCTTCCTGCCCCCCCCCCACTCCATTTCTGGTTCATCCAGTCTCCTCTGTATGGATTAATTCCTCTGGATGGTTTCTCTTCTACTTTCATGTCATATGTACATATATAAACATTTCCTTTTTAATTATAATAAAATTTGTGTACCATTAAATGCCTGTAATCCTAGCACTCCAGAGGTGATGGGCAGAAGGGTCAGAAGTTCAAGGTCATCCCTGAGATACATATTTGGTTTCAATAATGATAATAATAATAGTAATTTTGATGATTTAAGTGTACATTGACTTAATGGTATTAAGTATATGTACATTGCAACCATCACTACCCATTTTCAGAACCTTCTCTGTCTATTGAAATATAACTCTCTATGCCCGTGCTCCTACCCCAGCACCTAGTGACTATCATTCTTTCTGCCTGTGGAATTATCTACTCTAGGTCCCTCAAATGAGAGGAATCAGTGTCCTGTGGCTGGCTTATTGCCCCTAGAAGTAGTCAAGGTCCATCTCGTAGTCTCTGCTGGAACAGCCTTTCTCCCAGCCACTGAGCACTGGTGCACAGTTCTTGTCTGCCCACTGGGTAGAGGAATACTTGGGCTGCTTCCACCTTTTTGGCTTCTGTGAACTGTGGTACTCTGACCATTGATATATAAATATCTGTTTGAGAAATTCTTTTTCTCAAAGCAGACTTGCTGCATCATATGATTCTATTTTTCTAACTTTTGAAGATTCATCATATTATTTTCCGTAGAAGCTGCATAATTTTCCCCACGTGGTGTTATTTTAATTAACACTTCTTATTTAGATTGCCATCTTCCTGAGATCAAGCAGCCTTTTACATTCACTTCTCAATCTCTAAAGTGCTGTAAATGTTCATGTGTCTGTGAATGAAAAACATTCTTCCCAGGCTCCTCAGACAGTAGTTCAGTCTCAACCCTCTGGGGGTTAAACGACCTTTTCACGGGAGTTGCCTAAGACCAGCAGAAAGCACAGATATTTGTTTACATTACAAATCATATCAGCAACAGAATTATAGTTAGGAAGTAGGAACAAAAACAATTTTATGGTTGGGGGTCACCACAACATGAGGACCTGTAAGGTTCTGAAGATACAAACATTAGCAGGGGTGTAAATCATAGAATCTGAATGCTGAACCCAAAGAATGCTACAGCCCACAGACGGCTCCTGGATAGTGGTTCTCCCCCTTCCTAACGCTGCATCCCTTTAATTCAGTTCCTTGTGTTGTGGTGTTCCCAACCATAAAATTGAAGAAGATATCATAAAATAGAACGATCTCCCATGGTTACTGATCACTAGAATTAATATTGTGAAAATTACCATTTTACTATAGGCAGATTCAACACAATCAAAGGCTGTCTACAATTCAAAACAATCCCTAGCAAAATTCAGTTCTTCAATTCAATTCTTCACAGACATTGAAAAAAAATAGTTTTCAGATTCACATGGAAACAGGAAAAAAGCTAAGATAGCTAAAACAATCCTCAATGGTAAAAGAAAAGCCCAGGAGAGGGATCGCTGTCATAAATTTCAAGTTGTATGATAGAGCTATAGGAATAAAAACAGCATAGAATTAGCATAAAAACAGACACACTGATTAGTGGAATTAAACACCCAGATGAAAGTCCACACAGCTACAAGACATCTGATTTTTGACAAAGAAGCCCAAAATACACACTGGGAAAAAGAAAGCATTGTCAACAAATGGTACTAACCAAACTGGATGGCTGCATGTGGAAGAATGCAGATACATCCATGTTTGTTTGAACAAAACCTAACTCAAACTGCATCAAAGACCTCAACATAAGGTCAGGTACACTGAATCTGATAGAAGAGAAAGTGGGGAATAGCATTGAATGCATTGGCACAGAAGACTTTCTGTACAGAACACCAATAGCACAGGCACTAAGACCAACAGTAAATGGAACCTCTTGAAACTGAGAAGCTTCTACATGGCAAAGAATACTATCACTGGATAAACTGGCAGGCCACGGAGTAGGAAAAT